CTGTACAAGCACTTTATCACAGGTAATATTGGGTAATATTGGAGGAGCCTATCTGTGAACCTTGAATATGCGATGTTGTTTGCTCTAATTAGACTCTATATGCGCACGTTTCTGCGGGCTGGCCAAGAACTGCAAGAAAGATTCGTAACTGCTGCTTAGGATCAAGGTCGTACGGGCTCCCGTACTTCAGGGTAGGAAACCTCGCTTGAGCAGCACAATCATCCCGAGACAAGCGCAGGGCTGTCCATCCGGGTCGCTTGTCCACGCCAAACTCCAAGCAGAATTTGGATGCGTCACCTTTCAGGTGCGAGGATCGGTCACACTGCCTGTCCTCGACAAAGCTGGCCTGAGCAGTCGACGCTTGCTATCAAGATGGACTTCTTCTTGCCTTTCTCCTGCAGGTCTGCAAGTCTTACATCCTGCAAGCCTGGTCGACTGCAGCTTCAACCGAGCTGATTGCATTCGCATGCTTGACAAGCTCAAGTCGTGTGTCCTTGAACTTGAACTTTGCGTTTGCCAGCTTGTCCCACGTCGGCTTCAACATCTTACAGTGGTTGCACCACTCTGTGTGAAAATTGACAAAGACCTCGGACAGAAGGAATTGAAACACATCCCCACCCCCCAATTGAAGTTCAATCACACCGCAGTTTCCAATTTATTTTCCATTATCCCAATATAACCCCAATATAACCCCAATATATACCCTATTATACATAAGTAGTTTACATTTTATTTTCCATTATCCCAATATAACCCCAATATAACCCCAATATATACCCTGTTATACTATAGTAGTTTCCATTATTTTCCATTATCCCAATACAACCCCAATAGAACCCTAATATTACCCCTATGGGTGTATGAACCCTAAACCACCCATTTTCTGAGGACCGCTTCCGTCTTGCCTGAAACGCGGCCGGCCCAAGTCCTGAAAGCATTTTCCTTTGGACCTCCAGTTTAATTATAAGATTATCTGGGGTTTATATTGGGGATATATTGGGATAGTGAAAAAGAAAATGGAAACTACTATATTATAGATTTTGGGTAAGTAAGGCCTTCATAGGCTGACCATCCGGACTCAGGTGGACAACATGATCATAACTTATGACCATTCCCCTATGTGAGATGATGGCCGTCAACGGGCCCAGTCATAGTCACTAGGAGACCAGGGACAACACACAGGCTCCTCTCTGTAAGCTGCACGGCGCCTGCCACACCTCAGCTGCCCGTAGGCAGGCCGCACTGGCATTGACACAGTAGCTGTGGCCATGACTCAGAAAAGCCAGGAACCTTCCTGAAGAGCTGCCCATTGCTGGACACCCAATGCTGCGCAGTGTTGAATGCTGGCTTCGAGTTCATTTACTCGAGGACATGTGAAGGAGGATTCCAACCAAGCTGCTCTTGCTGGGCTGTGATGAAGACTCTTTAAATGCCTTCAAGGGGGAACAGATGTGTGACAACCACGTTTGGTGAGTCATGAAGCTCTTGTATGACTCCCATCCACTGTCCATCCTGGATAGCTGGATGACAGCCCGAGCTGTCTGGACTGCGGGAGCATGGCAATCTCACATGCAGAGTGGTGCAAGGTCGCCATGCGGCACATCCGCTAGCAAAGGCGCCTTAGCCTCCAAAAGAATCTTCAAGACCTGCAGAATTTCAAAGCGGAAGGAGGGGCTCAACCCTGTGTTCAACTGGCCTCTGGATGGCCGTTCAGCGCTGCCCAGTGTACTGCCGAGCGAGCCCAGCGGTCGCTCCTCAGCAAACAGACGGAGACGGAGCCTTCTTGGTATCGGCCTTCGCTGTGAGTCTGAGTGATCGTCCACTCCAGGAGGCCGCGTGAACGCCCATCCCTGATGGCCTCTTCGGGTGGGCGGGGATGGCGGGGATGGCGGGGGAATGGCCCGGGCTGGCAGGGTGCTATCCTTCAACTTGTAGGCGGGGAGCAACATGCATTCAACGTTGTCAAAGACGGCTCGAATGCCCTTGCTGCACTTGGCAGTCTGCGTAGCGCTACCATACACCATCACTCCTTCATGATGAATTGGGCCAGGCATGACAAGGCCCAAGCTACCCGACTTGCACATAACAGTAAGAAGAATCATAGCATTCGTAAACATAGTAACCACAGTACTAATAATACACTATCACAAATAGTAATAACAGTAAGAAAAATAAGAAAAATTCTCTCAAAGCTGGGGACGAGAGAGGAAGGAGCCTGCAGCAAACGCCTGAGAGCCTCCGTGCTGCCACTCCTGGCTGCTGCCTGAGCTGCAGGACCAGAATTAGAAAGGAAAGCCAAGAACAAAGATGCTCAAAGAAAACGGCTCTCTATACAATACCTTATCCAGCTTGAATGATGGCTATTTAAGACTCCCATCCTTGCCTTTGTCTGGCCAAGTGGCATGCAGTAAGGACTGCCCGCGAGCGTCTCGGACAGTGAGGGGGGCTTTGGCCTTTAACCTCAGGATAACGAGGAAGCTTAAATGCTTCTTTCAATTAAGATTCTTGTCTCTCTGGGCCCGGCAAAGCGTTCAAGGCACCAGCTCCAGTAGCCATGGCTGCATAGTGGAGAGGCCTCCGTGTCGGACAAAACCATGGCTCCCCCCAAAGGTTCGGCATCCCGTCTCCATCCTCACATATGAGCTATCGTCTAAACTCCTAGTATCCCCCTTTATAACCGCTATAATACTCCCCCATATACCTCCCTTCGAGGAGTTTAGACCATAGCGTAATATAGCTCATATGGGTCTGCCTTCAGAAGCCTCGGTGGATATGGGAGGCATCTCCAAAGCAAGCTTTTCTAAGCCTCAGGCGTCATTGAAGCACCTGGCTCGGTTGCCGTGGCTCTTGCCTGCAGAACTGCAGCTGCTTCAGCTCCTGCTCCCACTGCTGCAAGGCTTCCACTCTATAGCACCTATGACCATGAGCACTCCAACCAGCCATTCAATCGAAAATGAACATGACTAGGATTTTCACCTCTGTCACCATCGTGCCACCACCAGCACCAGTACACTTTTCATTCGGGTGAAACTTGCGCTGCCCCGAGGTGAAGAAGCCTGGCAGCCAAAGCTTGTGCTCAGACAATGCATTGGGATATTTGGTTTGGAGGCCCTGCGTACTCCGTACGTAGGAAAAAATCACTGCGCGTAACCTGTATGCTCCCCACATAGCCGCTTGTAATTCCGATGTTCAATGTTGGCTGTTGTAATATTTTGTTTTTTGCACATCAGCATGCGTTGTGCCCATAGTAGGGGGACCCCAGCATAGAGCCCAATGCAGTCCAATCCACGACATACTATGCGCACCCAACACGCCTCTCTGATTTGCAGAAGCCCCCTCCACTCCCCAGAATTCCTATACTCCCCATAAACCGTATACGTCCGTATACGGCATCCCCTTAGAGGCCCTGTGTAGCAACTGGCAGCCAAAGTCAGCACAGAGACCCTTCGGATGCGTAGGATGCAGCATTCATCTATTTATCCCTGCACCTACTAGAAACATTCACATTCGGGCACCGCTTCAAGTTCCACATCTAGGCACATGCAAATAAAGCAGGCTTCCTTATTCTGTGCGGCAGCTAGCAGACTAATCGCTAAGCCTTGAACGCAGCCTGCTCCCACTGCCTTTTTCCTGCAATCCGCAAAGTTTGAAAGATGGGGCTGGGGCTATGTCAACTTGGGAAATCTGCAAAATGTTCGTTTCTTGTTTCTGGATTGAATTCAGGGTGTCTGTCATTCTAGATCCGCCATCGGCTCATGGATTGATTGACTGACTGACTGAGGCATGTGAGCGGTGCTCTGCCTTCT